TTTTGGTTTTGCAAGCTGAATGGTTCAATTACATACAAAATCAGTAATTTTATTTATTTTATGTCATGACCAATATCATTACATTTTTCACAGGAATGCTGGATTGTGAACAAAACTTTCGCCCCAGGCGGGACTAGAACCCGCACCTCTCGCTTTCCGGGCAAGTGCGCTACCAGTTACGCTACCGGGGCATCATTTCATTCCAACTCAGCTTTTCATGGTATACTTACCATAGCTTGTCAGCACTCACACGTATAACGTGTCACAACCCAGCATTCTTGTGAAACATTCGCAAGGCGAACTGCGGCTAAAAACAGCAGTCAACAAACAAAAACAAGTCAAAAATCATGACATTTTTTCATCTATTTTTCTTATTCGTCTATTTATAGCACGGAAAGTGCGCCAACCAATGCTAGGACGTAACTGAAAAGTTAATGTTCGAACAAATAAACCAACACTCAATGAAGAGAAACAACATTAAACAGAAAAAAAATACTAACATTCAATTAATGACATTTACATAGTTGTGTCACAATTTCTTCGATCGATCACATATTCGTACACTTCGTGAAGCTTTCGTGCTTATTCGTCCATCCTTACTTGATTCAGTTATTTATTCAGATTTGGCGATTACTGATGAATAAAACAGGCGACATGAAATGCGTATCAGATACGGAAGAGGCGCATGGATGCGGATGGAGCTGGTCAGATCTGATATATTTCTTATTTGATAGATCCACCTCATCAACGATGTTTTCAGGTTTTCACCTAAAGCGCTCCGTCGATTAGCTGTATTCAATGTGTTCATGTTTGTTCTGTCAATAAATGCCATTATTCAAGGAATGATGGTTAATGGCTTCATTTCTACGAGTATTTCAAGTATTGAAAAGAGGTATGAGTAGGTCTCTTTCTCAATAAAGCATAGGTTCAGTGAACAGCAGTACTTTAAATTGATGCATGCTAAGGAAAACGTACATCTTCTTCCAAACAGCCTTGATTAGGCTTAAGAAAGCGGCTGCATATGGAAATGGCACTATTGTACTATTACAACCCTAGGGGTCAGAAGCAGGGTCAACCGTGCGTTCGCACTATTCGAACGAGGGGGTCGCATTTGTGGTTGGTTTTGGTGAGGGGGGTCGCATTCAGGGGTTGAGTGGGATTAGTAGTTGTTGGGTGAATGGTGAGGCGATTTAGATTTGGTTTCTAAGGAATCCCCCCCCCCTCCTCCGCTCGACACTTTTTGGAGGAGAAGTGGGCGGAGTTGGGCTGTGTCGACTGGTCTCAGAATCAAATACTATAGAAACAGCCATGATGGTGAGGGTGGTGGTCGGAGAAGGGGGAAGGGGATCGTATTGGGGAGCCTTCTAGACTGATGGTGGTGATTGGGGGTCGCAAAATTTTTGAAAAAGTGCGAACGTTACGGTTGATCTTGGTCAGAAGGGACAAAAAAATTTTACTCTGAAACTTCTGTTATGGAGGTTATCGAGGGTCCTGATCACGAATATGAGATCCATTTTTGGCGCTGGCGCCAAATTGGCGCCATTTGGCGCCAGATGGCGCCACGACTGAATCTCACCAAATTCGCTGTAAACTTGTAAGGAGGAAGCCTTTGGAGAGTCGAGGGCTCAAAGTGGATAAGCCACTCACTCCGTGATCTCACACACTTTAACTGCTGCCACACGGCGCTTGGTTTACCTGCTACACCGCAATCACTCCCTTTCCTTAAGCTTAGTCGAAGGCGTTAAGATGCGAGAGCTCGTGAGAGCAAAAATATGCGTTAAAACAGCGCAAGCGACAGAAACGAATGTCATATACGTAATCAGAGCTCCATATAACCCCTATATAGAAGTTAAGAATTTGGTGAGGTTCAGGCTAGGGCTCCATCTGGCGCCGTC